CACGCGCATACAGTCAGCGCGCGGAACGTCAGCCTGGGAAGCTTCCGGGCGACGGTGCTGACCCTCTCGGACGACCGAGTGTCCAGGGCGGTCACCCTGAAGCTGGGCAAGCCGCTCCACGCCAAGCGCCTCAACGCGATGCTGCGGCACGTCCAGCGCGGCAGCACCGTGGTCGACGTCGGCTGGTGCGGGGCGCGGCCGCGCGGCGCGGCGGCGGCGGGGCGGCTGGGGTCCGAGTGAGGGGCGCGGCGGGCCGAAGGCGGGGGCACTGGGGGTGTGACGCAGGCACGTGTTGGGCTGGGGGGGCTGGTGGACCCTTCACCCGGGGCAAGCTGTTTTGAAGGGCAAACCCCAGCTGTAACAGCGCAAGGGCGCGGCAGCCCGACGCCGCGCCCGCTCTCCCTCGCTCCCACCCCCCATATGCATTCGCCCGCGGGCGCGTGTGCGTGCGCACGCACCCAGGGCGCACCCGAACGCGCACAAATGTTTGCCACCGGCCTGGCCGACAGAGCAATCTCCCGCGCTCCTCTCGCCGATCCTCACCCGCCGCCCTGCCCCCTGTTCACTCCCATCCACAGTCACGTCGGGTCATACGCGGTCTTTTTCGCGGCCAAAGTGGGGCCGCGCGGCACAGTACACTGCTTCGAGCCGCAGCGCAAGCTGGCGCAGGTGGGCCTCGTGATGCAGCCGCGTCGCGCCCGAGCGACGTGCATGTGTGGCCGGCCAGGGTGTTGGCGCGCTTCTTGACGGCTGCTTTGACCTATAGTTGGCCCATGTCTCGTTGACCTTCAGGTCTCAGGTTGCCGGGTGCGTGGCTGTGCTGCACCCCAGAACCAGCGTGCGGACGCAATGAACCCGCCCGACCTGCTCCACGATGGAACCTTGTGCCGCGGAGCGCGTCTCCGTGTTGCCCTCGGCCCCTCCAGTCAGTCAGGAGTAGTCGAATAATAAAAACGATCCGAAATGAGCGTTGTTTGTGCGTGCACGCAACATCCATGCGTCATACCCCGCAGATTGCCGTCGCCAACGCCGTCATCAATGGGTTTTCTGACGTCATTAGGGTCCACAACGCCGCGCTCTCCTACACGCCCGCCAAAGCCCACATGGCTGTCAGGTTGGTAGGCGCCACACAAAGGGCCCATGGACTGGCGAGCGCAGGTTGTGCTGCGTTTGTGTGCGTGCGTGTGCCATGCCAGCGTGACCGTGTGTGCTTTGCTGTCTAGTACATCGTTCCAAGCGCTGCTGTCGTCGAGCTGCCCCGGCCCCAACGCCGCCTGTCGGCCCGCCGCCGCGCGCCCTCCCCGCCTGCGTGTTGGCGCCGCGCTTGCCGCCATTTAGGGTCCCTGGAGGCAAGATCAACAGCCGGAAGGCCAAGCGGGCCAAGGCGAAGCCGCGGTTCTTCAACTACGGTCCGCACGGGGCTAGCGCTGCGTCCGTCCTCTCGCCGTCCGCTGCTGCTGCTGCCGCTGCCGCTGCTGCCGCTGCCGCTGCCGCTGCTGCTGCACCCCGCTCGGCTTCGGAAGCCACGCGCCCAAAGCTGCCCGAAGCCTTGCCCGCGCCGACCACACACGCGCGGGGCGCACGTGCCTGCGGCTGCCCCGCTGCTGCAGGGGGCGTGTCGCTGGGCAAGGCGGGGGAGGCTGTCAAGGTCGTCACCCTGGACTCGTTCAAGCTCAAGGACGTGTCGCTCATAAAGGTGAGACCCTCCTGGTCAGGCCGCAGCGTTCCTGGGCCCCTCCTAGCCCCCCTCCGCCTGTCCCGAACTCCTGGGCCCCGCGCTCCCCGCGTTGCCCCTGCTGCCCTCTATGAAGTGCTGTCGACCAAACCATCAGCTCGCGTAGGCGCGCCCGCTCCCCCTCATGCGCAGCTCAATGCTCCCCACACCCCTCCGCGACTTATGCAGGCATCTTCATTTTCCAACACACACACATACACACACATCTACACACACACACACATCTACACACGCACACACACACACACACATCCCTCACAGGTCCACGTGGAAGGGGGAGAGCCACTTGTCCTTCACGGCGCCCGGGTGGGCAC